GAGAAGCTGTTCTCTGTACAGTCCTTCTCGCTCTCAGGGTGAGGCATTCTGTTGTCAAAAGGAAGGAAGTGATGTCATGCCACAGATGATGGAGGCTGGGAATGGGAAACCAGGATTCTCCTGCTAATAATACTAGAAGACATATTCTATAGATAATAAGTTATTGGTCACCAGGAGCCCAAAGATCAACAAACATTCTTGCCTAGTGTACTCTATGGAAATGGTATGGTGAATAGAGAAAGCACAGATGTAGAGTTAGACAATCCATGATCTCTCTCTACATTTCTCTCTCTCTCTCCTCTCTCTGTGTGGCAACTTTTATACCTCCATCTGTAAAATAGGGAAATCATACCTTTTTTTTTTTAACTGTTTCAGAGATTTATGGAATAACATATGGAAACTCTGGACCTGCAGGGACTTCAGTTAGTGGCATTTCCTTCCTTTCCACCTTCTGGAGTCTTCAAGGAGTAATAAATATACTCCAGAAAAAGAGAAAACACCCTTTACCCACAGTCTGAATTCTCAAGTTTGGCCTACACCCCCACTAGGTTTGTCTTCTCCCAGGACTGCTGTGAAGTTAAATAACATAGTAAATGTGTTGGCTTCACAACAATGGCTTTGTGAATACAAAGTGCCCTGTGTGTCTTTTCACGTTGGTCTGATCTGTCAGCATGTGCTCTCCAGCACTGAAGGGAGCAGCTCTGCACAGAGTTGCATAAATTCTGAAAACTTGGGGTTCACCACATTGCCTGTCTTAGTCAGTGTTCTATTGCTGTGAAGACATTGCCTGTCTTAATTAGAATTTCTATTGCTATGAAGAGACACCATGACCATGGCAACAATTATAAAGCAAAACATTTAATTAGGGCTGGCTTATAGGTTCAGAGGTTTAGTCCATTATCATCATGGTGGAACTCATGGTGGCAGACATGCTTCTGGAGAAGAAGCTAAGAGTTCTTCCAGATCAGTAAGCAGTAGGAAGACAGAGTGAGCCAGTGGGCCTGGCTTAAGCTTCTGAAACCTCAAAGCCCACCGGCAGTGACATACCTCCTAATCCTTTCAAATAATGTCACTCCTTATGGAGGCCATTTTTATTCAAGCTACCACATAGCCCAAGTCCACATTATCTTCCTGTGTCTGTAGTATCACAAGATCATAAGTTAAAACAACAGGAACCCATTCTGTCACAGTTCCAGAGGGGGAAAAGTATGAAACTAAGGCATCAAGAGGTCCAGGCCTCCTAAAGGTTCTCTGAGAGACCCTGCTTCATCTCTCCCAGCTTCTGGTGTTCTCATATGTTCCTTGGCTATAGTTGCATAAATACAATCCCTGTTATACCTTGGTTGGACATTCCTGGTGTAATTATTTTCTCTCTTCTAAAGAACTGTCATTAAATTTAGGGACCACTCTAACTGAGTTAGTGGGATTTTATATTACACTGAAAATCCCTATTCCACTTAAGGCCATATTCTGATATTTCAAGGAAACAAGAATTTGACTTGAGACACTATTCAATTCATCTACATATAAGTCATCTCTGACTCAGTGTGCATTGATCAACTTCAGACTAAAACCCTAAATTACCTTGATGTCTGTCTGGAGAATCATGAGGCTGTAACAGAACTTCAGACCTTACTTAGTACAACTGACTCCATGAGGAAAGTACCATTCAGGCCATACAGCTCTGCATGTAGACAGTACTACCTTCAAAAATTGAAAACAAAGACCTAGTCCACTACAGTCAAAATGTAGTAACCTTGCTTTTTGCTTCTGTAGCTCCACTTCTGGCTAACTGTTCTAAGTATGTCATCCCAGAACATGGTGTTTTATTTTGTGTATGAGCCTGGGATCTTGAACACAAAGTATAGCCACCAGCTGGCTAATAAAGACTTTCTATTGGATTAAACCCAGTCTTTGGTGAATACCACACAACAGGGCATGAAGCAGAAATGTCTCAAAGTGAGACTAGAAGAGGGTTAATTCTAAACTTATCATTATATCCATAGATTAATGCATTTCTCAACCCTTCTCTTAGTTTATGGTCTATTGCCATGAAAAGTCACTATGATGATGGCAACTCTCATAGGAAAGCACTTAATTAGGGCTTGTTTCTAGGTTTAGAGGTTTAGTTCATTATCTGCATGGCATTAAGAGTTGCAGCATGCTGGCAGACATGATGCTGGACAAGGAATTGAGAATTCTACATTTGGATCAACAGGCAGAAGAAAGAGAAAACTACTGGGCCTAGCTTGGGCTTTTGAAAGTCCACTATCAGTGACACACTTCCTCCAATAAGACTGCACCTCCAAATCCCTCTCAAGTAGTGCCTCTACTTGATGACTATGCATTCAAACATATGAGCCTATGGGAGCCACTGTTATTTAACCTCAACTGTTATCAGAGGAACCTTTATTTGTAGTAGGTGGCTAACACAGAGATCCCAAGGCCAAGGTCCAAAGAATGAGAGTTTGTAAAATGCTCATCTGTAAATGGAAAGTCTCTACTGCACCCCCTCCTCCCAAGAGTGTGGGTAGAGAGTGTTGCAGGGTATTTGAGAATAGTGTGAACCCCAAGATTGTGTTGTTTAATGGAAAAAAACTCTCTCTAGTTATGGTATGGCTCAGCCTCAACATTCACCTTTAATACAAGTTAATACAGGAGTTTGAATATTGTAAACAAGAGTAAATAAAGTCAACCATAGTCAAGAGGCAGAGTAAGCAACCAGTTGTCAGGAAGTGAACATAAGATTATTAAGAAAAAAAACCACAGAGTAAGAGGGAGTTAGGATGGAAAGAGAGATGCACAGGAAGTGAAAAGGAAGGAACATTCAGTTTGAGGAGTCTGTTTTGCGAATGTGGGTAGAAAGGCAGAAAGCTTCTGGGCCATCACTTGAAGAGGACGGTCAGCTGGGTGCTTTCTTTGCTACTCTGAGCTAGCAAGCTTTGATCCCAGGACCTGGCTCCCAGGCCTTTATTAGTAAAATCAAACAATTGAGATTTTTGTTTAAAAACAACAAGAAAGTGTGTAAGATCCAGAGGTGGTAGACAACTACAAGAAAACTATCTTCAAGACACAGAGGGCAGCTGCACAAATGAACTAATAGGAATTGTAACATCATACACAGAACTTGTGCAAACTCAGGCAAACCAAATCTCAGCTTGGAGATGAGAGTGAGGCACAAAAGCCCACTGCTAACCATGGAAGTATTAATAGCAGTCAGCTTCTAGAAGAGAGAGGGACAGTTTTCTCTGAGAATACAGTCTTTGGTAAGTCAACCATGCTCCAGTGGAAGTCCACACATCCAAAAATATTTCAGCAGCACAAACTAGTTTTTATTACTTGAAAAAAGAAAGGATGCAAAGTTGGGTGAATATCTTTGAAGAATTGGAGCGTAAATATGATACAAAATTTAAAATCTCAACGAACCAATGAAATTATTTTTTTAAGAAAAGAAGATGGTTCATTTTAGAAGGATGATGTAAACATTTGGAAGAGAAGGTGGGGCTTGGCAGAAGCACACTGGGTGGAGCTTTCATTCTAGTATAGTAGCTATGTGACTCCAGGACCTACATCATTTTTGAAAACTGATTTAATGGCTGGGAAGCAGAGCTAGGCAAGTTTGAGACCACAATGGTCTACATAGTAAGTTCCAGATCAGCCAGAACTACATAGTGAGACCCTGTCTCAAAAACCAAAACAAAATAAAAAACAAAGGGAAAAGAAAGAAAGGGATGAAGGAATGAAGCAAGGGAAGAAGAAAGGAAGAGGAAGGGAAGAGAAGGAAGGAGGGGAGGGAAGGAAGGAGTGAGGGAGAGAGGAAGGGAAGGAAGAAAGGAAGGAAGGGAATTCTAATTTATATTGTTTTCCAATCTCCATGGATTAATTCCATGTGTGGCAGATTTCTAGTTCCCACAGTGATGATACTGAGTGTAGAGCTGGGAAGGCACCATACCTAATTCACCACTATGAAGTTGGATACTGAAAGAGGGAAAAGGAAAAGGAAAGGGGTGAAAGACCTCTATCCCCAGCTCTTTCTACCCTCAGGCCTTTAGGGAGGCCAAGAGTAGAGCATCTCTGATTATGACAATGGATTCTAAAAGCATTAGACAGGACCAGCAAGATGGCTTGGTGGATAAGGGTGCTTGCTGTATAGGCCTAGCAAATTCAGTTTAGTAACTGGAGCCCACATAGTGGGAGGAGAGAACTAACTCCCAGGCATTGTTCTTTGATCTCCACATGCACAACTGTGGTACATGCATGCACATGCACACACACCTAGCCTCATTTTTCAAAATCTCCTTGTGAGCCCTGATCATAGCATTTTCTGGTGTTCTGTTCACACAGTAAGTTCTTTCCATAGAGAAAACTTACACACAAGCTCTAAATTGAAAGCAGCACAGAACTAGCTTGATCCTGCCACACTGTATCAGTCAGGGAAATGGGCTGTTGGTCAGTGGACCACTCTTACCCACCCCATTAGTCTGTGACTGTAGCTCTGGGTCTGTCCTACAGAGGTGTTCAGTGAGATCATGGAACAGGTAAGAAGTAAGACTATTTATTATCTCACTGAAGTTTAGTTACAGAACCTGAGCTCTGAATCATCTCACTTGCAGGTGGTCTTTCCATAGTCTGTCTTGCCTTAGTCACAAGAAGAGTTACACGGAGAACTTGTGACACCCATTTCCTGGAAGCAGTTTAGAAAAGGGGGGGGGGGTTGAGGAGGGATCATGTTTCTGCCTCAAACCAGAGTTTGACTGAAGTGACTACATAGGTCCTTTCCTGGCTCCCATGGGTCTAGACACCTGATTTAGGCTTCTCAAGAACAACGAAGTGATTTAAGCCTGATCAAATATGAGCAATCCTTGAGACTCAAGCAGAGAAAAAAAAAAAAAAAAAAACCCAGTTGAGACAGGAAGCTGGTTCAGGAACTGGTGGTTGGTTCCTGATGTGTAAATTTGACAGCAGCGGCAGTACTCTCTGATTAAAGCCTCTGTCAGGGCAACTGTGAGCAGCTGCCCAGCTCTCAGCCAGGAACTGCATCCCTCTCTTCGCTGGCTAATGGATCCCAACAGATCCCTTTTCTTGGGCATGCTTCTGTTTCTTTCTCTGGCTTTTGGATTGAGCTACGGAACAGGTGAGTGTTCATTTGTTTAAGGATTTGAGTCCTGTGTTCAGCAGTTTGGAATCAGCAGACCTTCGGGGATAGAGGAGACATGGGCTGGGGTGTATGATTCAGTTGCCTCTTCCTTAAGGAGTGCCTCTGGGTTTCTACTGTGTCTTTCGAAGAGGAAGAAACTAATGTGTTACTTGGACCTCGGATTCCAGGGATTAGCCCCATGGACACTAGTTTATAAGGAAACAGAAGCCAAAGGCACCTGCTACATCCATAATCAGCCTCTTGGTGTAAGAGACTCAGGCTGAAGTTCTGAGTGGTTGGTTTGGGGTGGTACCCTTCTAGCAATGACCCATGCTGTGGAACAGAGCTCTGGAAGACTTGTCCTGAATCCTTGCTATGGAAAGTGACTCTCACACATACACCAGCAGACAAAGAACATGGTCCGGTATAGAGCAAAGGTGGCAGAGGGAAACAGGTAGAAGTGAGAAACCTCAGACCTTTGGCTGACAACATATGGTGGCTTCAGTGTGGTCACACTTTCTTATAAAAGATGATTCCAAAGCAGCAAGAAGGGGAGAGGTTGGGAGTTTTGGAGCCCAGGGCTGGTTATAGATGTGGGAAATGCAAATCGAGAAATTTAAGGTCAAAGAAGCTTCTGTAGTGGGCCCAACTGGTAGCAAAGTTAGAGCCCAACTTCTTTCCCATTCTGCTGATTCTTTTTTCCAAGGCAAGCTATTGTTTTCTGTGTAGTGGGTTGGTGCTATAAGGAAGGTATTTGAGAGCAACAGTGCTAAGTGGTGATGCTGGGCTGACCATGTGAGTGGAATGGGCAACCCCATCTTAGGATTTGATTAGATTGTAGGAAACAGCCTGGCATGGAGATGGCTTTAGGAAGAGGATAGGGAAATCCTGAGGGCTAGAGCACTTTGGTCTTGAGGTTTTCATAACTGCAAATCCAATTTGAACTTTTCTAAGAAAAGCCCTGTAATGTGCCAGGGATGTGGGGGTGTTGTAAACAGAATCTCTTGCTCAAGTCTCAGATGAGGTGGCTCTTGCTGAGCCCCAATTTGAGAGCTTAGATTGCCAAACCAAGCATCTTTGTAGGTAGAGCTTGGTCTTCCTCCCTGTATCCTGTCTGAACCCCACCATTGCTGGTTTATTTGGTGGCTAATAACTATGGCTAATAACTATGAATTTTTGTTTTTCTCCTTGGCTAGCCTTGCCCGTGGCAGCTCAGGTGCAGCTAACAAATGTTCTGCTGAAGGGTGGAAGGTCACTTATTAGTAACAACCCAGCCCCACAACACACCACTTGGCAACTATTCTTTCCTTGCATTCCATCTTCTAAAATTGGTTCAATTTTTGTCAGGCTTCTATTTTTAAATGTGTACTCTTTTGTGAAACTCCGATAAAACTCAAATAGAAGTGCCTTGCAAATGAGACAGATCAGTCGTGTCAGGGCAACTCAGCCAAGAAGCTTGATTCATGTAAAAATCAGCACCTTTCTATTACAGCTCAGTTTCCAGTTCCCAGTCACATCTATATAAAGCAAAGAATCCACACGTCCCCTCCCAAATAAAAGAAATTCTCCTAAATAACAGCTGGTTTGTTTATTTACATTGAGTGCCCATGCTTATGTGACACAATTTCTATATAGCATCTTGACTTAAGTCAGAGAGCCATAGTGAAGAGTTACTATCTTTGGGTAAATAACTGCCAGGTAAACTTTTATGTCTTCTTCTATATTTTACTGGGAGTTGTCTTTAGTTTCTTGCCCTTAAAGAAGACAGACATATTGTGCTTATGTCACAATGTTAATATTTATTAGGCTCTCAGGAAGCCTTATAGTCTTTATAATGGATACAGCCCAGACTGGGGTTCCTGCAAAGCCAGCCTCTGGTTTCCTCAATTCATTATATACACTCATTTATGAAACAATATCATTTTTGTTGGTTTCTGATACTACTCTCTCCCTCATCATTTGTGCCAGAACATTATGGTCCTCATATATATATATATCATTAACTCCAGTTCACAGATATTTCCATAACTTGTGCTTAATGTTTCCATGAGCACTTGAATTAGATATAAAACGATAAGTTCACATTCTGAAGAATCTACACCAAAGACCAAACATGTCACATCATGTCTAGAAATCAGTTGGCTCAGATCCTTCAATGTATCAATAATCTTTTAGACTAAACTTTATTTGTAGAGCAATTTTGAGGCCATATCCATGTTGAGTGGAGATGGCTCACATCCCCTTACCCTGTGTTTGCATGGCCTCATCATCAGTATTGGCCACTACAGGGATATATGAGTCATGATTAATGAGTCTCCAAAAATGAGGTGCTTTATTCTTCCATGTGGGTCCTTCCCACTTCCTTCATACATGTTGAGTAAAAGATAAGGGACAAATGCCTGGGTTCTAGACTTGACCCAACCTAATACAGCTACTAGCCCATTCTATGACAATATATTAATCTAGATACTTCTTCAAAATAATTTAATCCCATGGTATAAAACCTTATCTTTCTCTATCTGCAGCACTGGAATAGAGTTCACAGCATCAGGGATTTAGTTATTTATAGAATGACCTTCAAAGATTGCATTCAGCACTGATCTACTGAGTGTATCTCACATGGCCTGGCAAGGTGTAGGGGTAGGGAGTAAAATGAGCAATTATAATTTCTGACAAGCACCTGACATTGTGTCTGGTATATGAGAGTCATTTAAAAATCATTGTTGAATAAAGAATAGTAGAAAACCCTGTATATTTGCTTTATATAAGACATTATGTTAAGTGTTTTATCATTTAATTATCATACCAACCCTACAAAATTATCATCACTGTCAGTACTATTATAGCTTTGTAAATGAAAAAAGATAAGCGGAGTAGATTAACAGTCTTTGTAAACTCTAGACATGTCAGTGAATGAAACTGGATAAGCTTCTGACTGAGAAATGGGAAGAATGATACAGTGTCTAAAGGTCCCATGAGGAAAACTAGAATTTTATATATATAAAAATTTATATATATATATATATATAGTATATGTTGAATTGAACTAACACTAATTGAAGTATGGAAATTTCAAAGGTGGGAGGAAATGATAAATTATAGGAGAATGTAGAAAGTCTTACAAAGTGAAATTTAGAAAGTATATAGAAACATTTTTAAGCATGCAGGGTTTTGAATTAACTTTTTCGTTTATTGGAAGAGAGATGAAGTTTCGTGTGTGTCTCTAAAACTTCAGCAGAACAAATGAGATTAGAATGAAGATGTCTTCTTTCTATGATCCTTGCTGTAGACAACACTGCTGCCAGTTTTTGTGTGTCTGTCAAGATAGAGGTTGGATTCTACTAGAGTCAGGAAAGAGTATTCCAGATGGAGATGCAAATACAGAGCTAAGGTGATGTGAGTGGTTGGGTGGAATGGCAAAGGGTCTGTTGTAGCCAAAAACTAAGGGTTTGTGACTGAAGAATTTCTAAATCCTCACCTGGAAAGTGGGGACAAATACTGTCTCTCATCCCAAGTAGGGACACTACAGAGATAAAATGGAATTCATTTTGATTGTGGAAAGAGAACCTAGACTCATCTTGTCATTCATTCATTCATTCAACCCATTTTATTCATTCACTTTGACAACAAGGATATTCTGGGCTCCTATTGTGTCCCAGGTACCTCTTAGAATAAATACCACAATAAACAAAAGATACAATCCCTCTTCTTGAAAGCTTCTGGGTGAGGATGACAAATGCTAAACTAGTTCAAACTAGTTGTGCAAAAAGTAAGATAGAAGCATGCAGCGGGAAAGCTAACTGAAGGCCTGAGTCCAGGAAGTCTTCCCTCATACAGAGAAGTCAAGGTGAAGACCTGAAGGGTGGAAAGAATTGACCACGCAAAGGGTGGTCCAGGCTTTTAGGCTGAGAAATGATGGGTGCAAATAGCCTGAGCAACAAAGACCCAGCACTCACAGCACCATGGGACAGGAATATTTAACTGACATCTAGGTTTAAAAACAAACCTTAGATAAGCTAATTTTTTTTTTCCCTTCCTGAGTCTGCATTTACAACTAGAACTGTGAAGCCTGTGAAACTTGTCTCTTTTCTACCCCCCGAAAATGTAGTAAGATGCTAAAGGCATCTATAAAGTATCAGAATAAAGCCAAAATTAAAGTTCTCAGGTAGAATCCCACCTTGTGAACAGATTAGCTAAATCCTGAACATTTCAGGCCCCTGTTCACCTGCCTGTGTGAATCACTCCATCACCAAAGAAGAATTACCCCTGAAGGAAAGTGAGTCAGCATGAAGAGCACAAATGTTTCCTCCTGACTTCTTTTAGTAAATAGGGCTGACTGAATCACAGGCTCGTTGGAAAACCCTCATCAGGCAGTAGGATGTTTCAGGAACAAAGACTCTATGTGAAGGGTTTTACAGCTCCTCAAGTTTCCACTTGTGCTTGGGTGGTGATGACCTCAAGCTCCCCTCTAGACTCATGGGAGCAATTACATCATCATTCCTTGTGTATTTGGGTGTTAGGGTCTCCTCCTGGTAAGGTTTGGTTCTGCCCCTTATGTATGCAAACTATGAAGTCTGTCTTTATCTTCCCCATTTCTTCCCTTACACTTTTTCTCCTCTTACCTTCTACCATTTATTTATTTGTTTATCTGGCTACTTCCTACTTCGGCCTTACCCTACTTTTCTCTTTCTTGTACCAATTCTGTACTCTGAAAATAATAACAAAACAAAACAAAACAAAACAAAACAAAACCTACCAGGTCATGTGGTAGGAAAGGCTGTATGGGAGGCATTTGGAGAGTGGAGTTAACAACAGTGTTAGACTGGGTAAATTTCCCCATTTTCCCCTTCTCCATATCAAAATTATTTTAAAATGTCAACAGTCTGGTAGTGATTCTGTTTTTAAAATCTCGTGTCTCTTTCAGAAATGGCATTTAGACAAGTGTTCCCCAAAATGTACACACATTCAGAGGTCTGTGCAGAGCTCTCAGTCTTCCCTCTTTCCTTTACACATGTTTAAGACTCAAGAGGCACATTTGTACAGTTCAGGTGTGAAGCCATCAGAAGAGCTGTGTCATCTGGAATTGTCAGGCATTACTGAGTGTGGCTGGAGGAAAGTCCAATGTGCTTCCCAATGTACCCATGTCAAAATAGCACTAAACAACAGTTAAAAAAAAAATAGTGTCTTCATCTAAGAGCACTCTGTTTCAAGAGGAAATATTAGCAATGCCCAAAAGACCAACTTCCTTGTCATCTACCCCCACAATTGAGAAGGGGGTCTCTTCTAGGTAGACCCATCACAGAAGCAGGTGTTTTCATTTTACTCTTTTGAATCTCTTATCATCTAGAACGATCTGTGCCCATTGAGTCATGTGTTCCTATAATGAACATTAACTTGTGGTTAAATTCAGTTATATACATATTAGGCTAAGCTAAATAAGAGGTCTGTTAAGGTAATATTGTTTTCAGTACTTGTCAATTGAACAGATATTTATTTTATAGTGCCTTTGTGCCCAACACTGTAACCGGTTGTCAGACATAAACAGTGGTATGAAGTTCCTTCTCTGGAGAAGACTGTACTCAAGTGGGGCAGACAGCAATAAAATGAATAAATGTGCACTGTAACAACACCAGGCAGGGATAGCAAGAGCAATGGGCAGGGGGCTGTCCTGGGTGCTCCGTCAGAGGAGGCCTCTCAGGAGAAAGAATTCTCTAAGAGGGGACATAAAATAAAATGAGGAACTGGGCTGTTCAGGTACAAAAGGGAAGAGATTTCCAGAGGGAAACAGGGCAGGAATGTTCTTAATGAGGTTGAGGAGCCGGAAGCTACCTGGCCATGGTGGCCAGAGTGGGCAAGGGATGGATTTGGAGCAATGCCAGGGTCTCAGTGAGCAGAATCAAGGACTATGAACTTTGTGAGTGCTAGAAAAGCCCTGGAAGACTTAAAGCAATAGAAGGAAAATAAATAAATCAGACATGGGTTTAAAGAATCGCTCTTCCCATGGTACAAATGTCGGGGGAGTAGCTGGGAGACAGTGGTAGCAGCTAGGCCCGTGGTGTTGGGAGTAGGCAGGAATGGCATGGAACGCGCTTCTGTGTCACACCTATGCAGAAATTAGAGCCAGCAGGATTTTCTTTCGAGATCAAATATGGAGTGTGAGGAAGGACAGACTCAAGAGCATTCCAATGTTTTGGCCTGAGAAAGTGAACAAAATTACGCTTGAACAGAAAGGGTTTTGCTAAAGTCAGCTGCCGTTTAAACCTCCACATGCGCATTTATGTAGGCAGTAGGCTGTGAAAGGATTAGCCATAATATATAACTGTAAATATTGCAGAGATATGTCGAACCGTGCAGCTAAATGAGAAACAGAATAGGTGTAAATAAGGAAGAGAAGGAAGCCTGAGCCGGGGCATAGTCTGATATTTAGATATCTAAAAAAACAGAAGTTTCCCCCAAGGAAACTAAGAATGATAAAAGAACAAAATAGCAAGCCAAGGAAGTGTCGGGGACCAAATGCAGACAGTGTTTAAAGGAGATAATGAGCTACATCCATTGAGTGTTCCTTGAGAAAGACTCAAGACAATGATGGAGAATCAATTATCTTGGCTCTGTATAACAGAGAGATCTTGACAAGTGTGATCCAATGAGAATTTGGGGAGAATACTTGTTTGAAGTGGGCATAAGGGAAACTGGGTCAGGAAGTAAAAGCAGAAACCATGAACAGGCATGCAAGAACCTTCCAGAAAGAAAATGATGAGGAGAGATTTGTTTTTGTTGTTGTTGTTGTTTGGGGAGGGGAGGTTGCTTTTTAAGATGGGGGCAATCAAGTGTTTGTATGTGAGTGCTGGTGAAAGAAATCCAGACGACAGTGATAACACAGGGGATGGGTTATAGAGGAAACATGAAAGCATACGAGTGTTCTTTGAGGGGAGAGGCTAGCCTCGGGAGGGAGCACAGGCCATTTCTCCAGGTAGACAGATCGACTGGGATTTCCATGGATTGAACTTTACTTTCTTCTGTATTTTTTCAGTGAAACAAAAAGGGCGGTCACCCCTGCTAGAGGAGGCAGAAATGCAGGCTGTGGGTTTGAGCAAAGTGGAGGTATTAAATAGTCAGCACTAGAACCCCTCAGAGCGGTTTGAAAGGTTTTTGGGGTTTTATGGGTTTTTTTTTTTTTTTTTTTTTTTACATCCCCCCCAACCTTGTTCTTGTTGGCTCAGCTTTTTTTTTTTTTTTTTTTTTTTTTTAAGGAAATAAAGTTATCTCTTACCTTTACCATTTTTAATGATCTAGGGTATTTTTGGAGAACTGGGATTCCAGTTTGGACATGAAGCACATCACCTCCCTAATTTTCACAGTCCTCTTACTCTTCTCTGCTTCTTGTCACCTGGCTTGTTGCTTTGGAAACTATGGTCCCCTGGGCTATTTGCTCTTTACCTTGACAGAGAAATTACAGACTGAGATTTTAGTCCTGGCTCTGCCACTTACTAATGTGACTTTAAGGAAGTCATTTACTCTACTTCTGCCTTCTGCGTTTTCACTGTTAAGTCTGAGTTGACAGAACCCTGGTGGAAGTAATTGTAGGATTGCCATTGGACGCTTTGAAACACTGAAATTATGCTTATGATCCTGGTGGTAGTCCTTGTAGACCACCATGTGGTAATTTGAGATAGTGCAAGAGGAGAGGCGAGTCTCAAGCCAGTCACTCTCAGTCCTTGACACAACATATTCTCCAGGTCTTTCATCTTAAGGAATTACCTTCCCTTCCTTTCCACAGGTAGAGGTGTGATGGATTGCTCAGTGATTATCCAGCCACTGGGAAGTGACACATGGCTGCCCCTGACAAATCAGATAAATAAGAGCATTAACAAAAGCGTCCGCATCCTCGTCACGATGGCAACGTCTCGGGGAAGCAAAACCAACAAGAAAATAGTGTCTTTTGATCTCGCTAAAGGGGACTATCCAGATCACCTAGAGGATGGTTACCGGTTCCAACCAGAAAACCTGAGCCTGGGGATTTTGGCAAACAGGAGGGAGAACGAAGGATGGTACTTTGTGAGCTTGGAGGAGAATGTGTCCGTTCAGCAATTCTGCATGCAGCTGAAACTTTATGGTAAAAATGGGAGTTTTCACACTTCACATAGGAGGTCTAGAAGACTTAGGCCTTTCTCAGAAGCAGAGTGTTTGCAATCAGAAGCAACTAGAAAGATCTGGCCCAGCGAGTATTTAAGCTTAAGGGAAATACTTTGATAGGGGGACATTTAGTAGGCTGGTTGGTTGGTTGGCTACACATTGGTGGAGGCTGAATTGATTCTGCTTTGAAAGGAAGAAGCCCACTCACCGTGTGAGGGCTTTCACCTCTAATAGGCTTGGTTTGCATATCAATTTTTTAATAAAAGCATTTTTTTCTATCAAGTCCGAAAGTACAAAGTTTGAATACAACTGAACAAACCTAACTTCTCTGTCATTGCCAGGGACCCCAGAGCCAAGTGGTTTTGCACGTGCTTACCCACATTTGTGTAGGCTGTTTGCTGAAGCAGAGGTTCTGAGTAAAGAAAGCTGACATTCTACCCATAGGCAGCTCACCAAGCCCAGAGCCCTGGGGGAGGCTTCCACCTACATGGTGAAAGAAACACTTTTTTCCCCCTCTCATTTGAACCAGGATCTGTTATGTAGTTGTTTAGTTGAGAGACTGTAAAACCTGCATCTTCCTGACTCCAGAGCTTTCTGAGCCTCTCTAACCTCTGCTCCTGACCTTGAGGACACCTTGAATTCCTATCCCCTAGACTTAGAGTCTCATCTGCTCTCCAAGGCTTCCTGGCATCTCTGCGGGGCTCCCCTGATCTTTCACAGGGATCTCTTGCACCAGCAAGGATGGGATAGGAAGTCCACAGCCAGCAATTCATTGAAACATTCAGTTATCTACAAGAGAAGCAGAAACATTTTGACTCTCTCCTGCCCTAGTGTTTCCCTCCTGCAAATAGAGAATGCAGAATTTCCATAGCCCTCTGCTGAGAGTGCACGTCATGTGTCCCTCTGTTCTAATAAGTCTACTGACTTTGTCAAACCTTATATAATAAGTTGGGTACTTTGGGAACTGTGGTCTCTGCAACCATGACTTTCTTTATCAAGAGAGGGAGCTGGGCTGATTTCAGAATCTAATGAAGGTACTTGTATCAGCCTGGTCACTTAGAAGCTACATAATATCGAACAAGATGTGACATTTCTCTGAGACTCAGTTTTCTCATCCACAAAATGGAAATAATTATTTTTTAGTTATAATTATTGAGAGAACTAAAGAAGATGGATATGAAGTCAATGTGCTGGTCCTATAGTAGCTGTAATAAGCACAACCTCTCCTTTTATCTTGCCTATCTCATGGCTTTAGAATAGTATGGATTGATTGAAAACTTACCACTACCTTAGACCTACAAAACCCTTGCTACACACACATACATACACACACATGTACCATATACACACACCACATACCCCAACATCATACACACACCATATACACACATACCACACACACACCACACACATACACATACACACACACACACACACACACACACGTACCACATAGACACGCTTTTACCTCTAGGAGGCTGTACTTTAAGCCTATCAAAACCTATCTTACTCTTGATAGAATATGGAAGAACAGTCTAGATGGTAAACATCAGGAAAGGCATGCAGTACCCTAACAGTATTAGCAGAAAGTAGCTAAAAACCAAATACTTCTCTATTCTATCTCAAGAGAGTCCTGGAAATAACAAAGAGGAGTGAGGGGTGATGTGAGAGATAGTTTTCCACAAGAGACAACTCACACTTAAGACTTCTCAGTGAGGGGGAAAGGCCACACTGGTTTAGACAAATAGGCCAGTCAATAGTTGCGAAAGTCGTGTTTCAGTGATGGCTCTCCTCCTCCTGACAGAGCAGGTCTCCACTCCAGAGATTAAAGTGTTAAACAAAACTCAAGAGACCAAGAATGGGACCTGCAGCTTGATGTTAGCCTGCACTGTGAAGAAAGGCGATCATGTGGCTTACAGCTGGAGTGATGAAGCAGGCACCCATCTGCTGAGCCCAACCAACCGCTCCCACCTCTTGTATGTCACCCTTAGCCACCAGCATCATGACAGCACATACAGCTGCACCGCAAGCAACCCTGTCAGCAATCGTTCTCGGATCTTCGACCTATGGCAGGAGTGCGGGCGAGAGTCCTCAGGTGAGTTATCTGGTAGCAGCTAGGGCATTTCATTAATGGCAAGACCAATACTAACTGGTCCAGTAGCTCTGCTTCCATAGCCAAGCCTTGCCAAGTACACTTTGTTTCTATATATTGTCAAAGCCTCCAGGCATATCCAACAAAAGTGCTTCCAAGGTGGCCCCAGGTGACATTAAATCACATTTGGTTCACAGTTGAGGAACAAATAGGGAAGGAAAGAAAAGCAGAATCAGACCCAGAATTCAGATCTCCAAGAGAAAACCTTTCTCTGTGTCTTCTGCTCTGGGTGCAGCACACAATGATGTCTGGAAAAGGGATGCAGGTTGCAGGTCCTAAATCTCAAATCCATGCTCCATTATGGTGGGACAGTTCTATGCCATCAGTTGGTACTTTCCTAGCACTTATGCTGCAAGAGAAGGAAGTAGATGTGATGTGTGACCTCTGTGCCTTAGCAACACAGTGTAAAAGTGAGATGTTTGCTTGATAATGAAGCACAGGCTGTAAGGGAGGGGTTTGTGTTGGGAATGGATTGTGACTCTCAGAGCCAGTAAGAGGAGCAGAGGAATCAGAGTGAGAGGTAAGCTAAGTCCTGGAGCATGAAACAAGGGGAAGGTGATGAGATGAGAGTACTCCTTTATAGGCAAGGCACTTTGAACTGTATGTCTCTTTGGTTCACAGTAAATTTGCCAGGTGGGTGCCATTACCAGCTTCATTTTACAAATGAGGAACTTGAAGTTCATGGTATTTAAGTATCTTTTCCAAGTTTCTTCAGCTTCAAATAGTGGAGTTAATGCATAAACCTAAATATTTCAAGTAGGTCTTCTCTTTTCCTAGATAGAGAGCATGACTGTTCTGTTGGGAGAGAATGCCAATCAAGTAAGCCCATCTAACCATGAGACAGAAGAGACCCCTTCCCTCTTGTGCTAGACTGTGTCTATGTCACAGGAATGTTCAGGCAGAGCCCCAAAAGGCATGACTTACATCCTGACATCTCCTAGCTGGGGATGGGAACAAGAGTCATTCCAAGGAGACTCCCACCCACAGACTTGGTATCTGTGTGACACACCAGATGTGCAGGGACAGAGGAGAGGGGACTGTAGATGCGTTATGCCCTCAGCATAGCACTTCCTGTAACTCCCCACCCCCAGAGGATTCTCAGATAGGACATACTCCTACTGTACCCCAGCATATTCCTTTGAGTTCTTTTATGAACCTAATGCAGCCATGTCATGGAAAGAGTCAACCATCTCTGTTTTCTGAATGTGGCCCACAAACCATGTGTAGGTTCATTCTCAGGTCCCTCCCTGCCCACAGTCATTCAGAGCATCCTGGAAAAAGGAAGAAAACAGTGCTGTCTAGTGGAAAGCTTCTAGAACATGGTGGGGGGGGGCTCTTTCTAATTACTGAACCAGAAAGCTCAGCTTTCCCTGTGACTTTATTCTTCATCTGTAACTGACAGCTGAGAGGAGTTGATTGTTCACTGGCCTACATGGAACATTATTAACCCTCACAGCAATCAAATGATATAGATAGTGTTAACATCTTCACACTGTGGATGTTGTAAAGAAAAAAAAAATACTATGAAAGGTTTGAGTAAGATCAAACACAGAGCCAGTGAGAGAATTGAGCTGTTTGGTGCTGGAATCATCATAGGTATTCCTGGAATTCACTTAAAACAGCCTTAGAAATCACAATGAGAAACTAGTTTTTCTTGGAGCTGAGGAAGACCTATTGTGGCAGCCCAGCTCTTGCTTGTTAAAGCCTGTTTAGAGACAAGGGAACAAATTTTTACACTGATCTATCTCAAAATGAGATGTAGGGATGGGAACTCCTTTCAAGATAATGTGACAAGCATCTAACTAGTGCATAATAAAATCTTGGTAATCCATAAAGCTTACACCTGGGCATTCAGATCAGGACATTCTAAGTGAACACTGAAGGTGAATTTTACCCCTTTTAGCCATCCTGAGGATGAAGTATACACTAGTGTGATTAAGTATGAAGCAGGCTTGGTGGGGTATGGAGGGACACTAAGTGGCCCTTAATTAGAAGATGCTCTGAGGAGAATTCTATCAAGACCTTGTCCACTCAAAAAAGCTACTAGACATAAGGCAGCCACTTTTTTCTCTTGGGCTTCTGTCTCACCATCTGCAAGGCAAAGGGTAAATTACTGATGTTCCTTCCAGAGTTGACATATATGATTTAGTTCATGAATATGTCAACAAGAACTGTTAATAAGAACTGATAGGAGTCTTGGCTTTCTGGGGTATTGATGTCATAAACTGTGATGCTTTAAGCTGTTGGAAAGTATTGTCTCAATGTTCTGGAGTCTAGAAGTTCAAGATAAAGGTGTTGTCTGGTTTGATTTCTCCTGAGACTTTTTCTTGACTTACAAATGGCCTTTCTCCTCTGTGCATCCCTGGTGCCTCTCTCCCTTCCCTCTTTTGATATGGACACCAGTCAAGTTAGAAAAGGGCCATGCTAGTGACCTTGTTTGAATTTAATTACCTTCATAACAACTTGTTCCCAAATATCACTCTGAGCTTCAGCATATGAGTTTGTGGGTGCAGTAATTAAGCCACAGGACTCCAGTTTAACTTGATTATCTTTATAAGGCTCCCATATCTGATGGAAGTCTCATCTTAAGGACTTCTAAATAAAGATTTTAAGAGAACACAATTTAACTCATAGTTCAAGTAAAGGTTCCTCCCCCTCCAAAGATGGAGGGGGTCTTTGCCAAATCCAAGCCAGACACACTGACATTTTGCAACATGGCATTTCCTCTATACAGGGCTGTAGAGGAAATTACCTAAATTACTGAAAACCCACTTTCATTAGTCTATCACAGTGGGTCTCAACTTTCCTAATGCTGTGACACTTTAATACAGTTCCTCATGCTGTGGTGACCCCCGACCATAAAATTATCTTTGTTGCTACTTCATAATTGTAATTTTGCTACTGTTATGACTCGCAATGTAAATTTCTGCAATTTCCAATGGTCTTAGGTGACCCCTGTGAAGGGGTCACAGGTTAAAAACTGCTGGTCTATCATTTTGTGTTTGCAAATGGAAGCTGATAACTTTAAAAGTGCTGTGTTTGCTTTGACAAAACATCTATTGAGGTTTTACCACATTCCAGCATCATACAAGGTAATCAGCACACAAAGATGAAAAAAATAGAGAGATACAGACTTTGTCCTGGGTATAATTCTGTAAATAGACAGTTATCCTAGATCACATAGTATGTCCAAGAGGTTATAAAACCAAAATATGTGCAAGGTAATAAAGAGAGGGAATGAAAGCATTGGTTCATCAAAGATGGGTATTTGAAGAAGTTACCCAGACTCCCTGACAAAGGCATATTAAGCAGAGGGAAAACAGAGAAAGCATGTGACACATTCTACACCACCTTGAAGGTAGTAGTGTGATAGGAGTTGACATTTTTAGATGGGGAAGGGCGTCATTGTCTTTGCTTTTCAAAGAGAAAGTGCAGTGGTATAGAGAATAGACTGGGGTCAGAAAGAGGCAGAAAAGAAAGAAACTAGTTACAGAAGGACATTATGGCAGTAATCCATCAAGATGTGCTGAGGCCTGCATCAAAGCAGTGGCCATTAGTACAACAAAGACTTCTTACATAGCATACACCAAGGGGAACCTCAGCCTCAGAATGAAACTTTATGGTAGGCTGAGAGTTCATCAGTATTGCCAGCAGTAAGTCTAAAGAGTGATTTTGAAGACATTTTTCCACTTTTTAATGAAAATATGTGCATGAACATATTTGTTCTTTGAAAAGAAATTTTAATGACATTTGTCTAAGCTCTCAGTCATATAGTCATCTGGGTTCCAATAGCCATTTAAGAATCTCATACATCTTCAATGTCTATCATAATGAAGTCTCTTATGGCAAGGCCTAAATTCTTGGGCTCTACAACATCTTTTATCTGGGTCATGTGAAGCGCATTAATGTGGTTTGACAGTAGATCCTGTGTGGGACTTGCTGTTGTCCTTGTTCACTATGTTTTGAAAGTATTATGTCTGTGTAAGGGTGATTGATTCAAAATCTTAAAAGTTCAGCTAGAAGGGAATACCCCTGGAAGCCCACACTAAAAGGAAAAACTTTCTCAAGAAGTTAGTAGAATGCTGGCTCAGTGGAAGAAAGGGCTAACACTTGAGCTCCAGAGTGTCCCTTCCACCCCCATCATTTTCATAGTCACCTAGATGTTCTATGCCCATGGTCCTCTCCAGTGTCATCCCCGTATAGCAAACCTGACAAGTGGCAATAGCAAAAGGATAAAGGTCGGATACTTATCAGCTACAGCCTCATTATGTGGTCAAACATGTAACAAGAACAGCTAGGAAACACAGTTATCAGCTGGGTAGCTGTGTGTCCACAGCCCTGAAAGAATGGAAGAAATGATCCCAGGCACATGGCTAGTTCCCTCTGCAACACTGTATGGTGAGAAACAGGCTGCTGTAAGGTAGTGCTTCCAGAAGGTGTGGGTTCCATAAAAACCTTTTCTTGGATGCTCCCAGACTGGTAGTATCCTCTTTCCACCCCTAGTATTCACTGGAAACTACCACTAAGAAGGCATCTCTTGAAGACTGTTGACTTCTTCAAGGAGCCCTGCTCCATGCCAGTAACCTTGTTGACAAAACCACATGAAAGGCAGGAAAGAGATCCGGTACTCTCAAACCGTTATGTGAGCATCTCAGAGGCTCCTGGATCAACTACATTTATTTCTTGGGTTCTGTTTTGTTTCTTTTTATCTTCTCCAAATAGCATGATCTGAGGACATGAAGGGAGAGAATCTTTTATGTCGCTGTGATGACAGAGTTTTCAGAGACAGAAAACGGAAAGAAGACAGCCAGCATTTTCCTTGGAGGTGTGGCTCTGTGTAGGTTTTCTCACAGCTAATAGTGGAGGCCTGCAGAGTGGAGACTCATGCAAATTACTGTCTCCTCTAAATAGCACAGGTGTTTTCAGTCAGCCCCCTTAGCTAGGGGAAGAGCATCATAACTCTGGTTCAGAAAAGAAAAGAAAAAAGAAAAAGAAAAAAGAAAAGGAGAAAGAAAGAGAAAGGAGAAGAGGTTGAGGTAATGTTTCTTCGTGACTGAAGAGCTTGAGAAGCCAAGGACAAGTGTTATCTGATTTCTGCGAACCAGCATCCTGAGAGGCCTCAGTACATGAATGAGCAAAAGGAGAGAGAGTGGGATCTTCTGGTTTGAAAATAGGAGCATGGGTGATGTGCTTCAGGCAAGAACACTCTTCCCTGCTTTGTGTGTTATTGAAAAGCTATGTCAATTAGGTCATTGGTACCCTTGAATCTTGTCTCGGGGAATTCAGAAAGTGACCCAGCATGCCTTCTAAGACCTTCATAGATTTAACACTATGATATTTTTTTAACAAAAGAAGACATGACAGTTCTCTAAGATCTATTCATATTCAATAATTCAAGTTCATCAAATGTATGTGGAGTGACTTCATATCCTGTACCTGGTAGGAAGAGGGGCTGTTTAGAAAAAGAATAGGCACAGAGACCACCTTTAGAGGTGTCAACCTAAGCAGGACTTCTGTACTTTACTAGATTAAAAAAAAAAAAAAGACACATCATTGTAAAGAAGCTACTACTAAAATTCCTCTTTGGAGGATACACAGTACTCATGACATGCTTTAGTAGCTGTAGAAGACAGACAATAGAACCCTATCTCAAGGAATATAGATGTTGCCTGGATTCTCTGAGAAAAGGAAAGATGATGTTCATACAGAAACAGAGTAGCTGAGGGAACAGGCACATGTCTCTATCCTAGCACCAGGGAAGCTGAGACAAGAGGCTCACAAGGCTATATAGCAGGTTCTAGGCCAGCCTAGCCTCTCAACAAAGCAAAACAAACAAACCAAGAAAGAAAGAAAGAAAGAAAGAAAGAAAGAAAGAAAGAAAGAAAGAAAGAAAGAAAGAAAGAAAGGAAGGAAGGAAGGAAAGAAGGAAGGAAAGGAGAAAGGAAGGAAGAAAGGAGAAAAAAAGGAAAGGTCTGCGTTCATCAGGCAATGGATAGAAGCTCCCGAGTCACAGTAGAGTCTGCTCCTTGAGCCTCTTCAGATCCTCCACAGAAGACTGGAACACAGATTCTTGGTGGATAGCTGTTCTATCTTGTTTTTGTTTGTAGAATCTGGGGGTGGGATCAATGCTCGCACAAGAACAGTACACTGAAGAGCAAGCTGGGCAGGAGGAATAAGGGCTCAGAGGGCCACAAGAAAAACATTCCCAGAAGCTTTGGAAACTGTGCAACCTGAGCCCCACAAGCTAGATAAGCAGCAGTCTGTCCATATTTGTCTGGCCTTCCAGTTTGACAGTTCCTCTATAGTTTCTATATGTAAATACCCTGACTAGCAAATAGCACTAAGTGGGTGAACATTAAGTATAGGCACCTTGGAGCATGCTGCTCAGATGGGAAAACTAAGCCGTAACCAAGTGACAGCATGGGACTTGGCACCTCTGGGCTTCAATGAGGAGGACACTTTCGCACTTGAGAGCAAATCCATTTTCTTGCTCCAATCAACCATTAAGAACATACTGGGGATACATGGGGCAAGTAATGAAAGGACTGAGAAAGAATCTCTGTCAAGAGATGCTCTCTGACCTCTTACAGGTTCATTGGGGAGCTGAGGCTAGGGGAAGCAGGTGACGCCCATTGATCTCGTGACGGAGTCTAGACGTTGCTTTGAGCACTTCATGTACAGTATTGTGAGGGTTCTTCAGAACAACCCTGTGAACTAAATGTTTTTATGTTCACTTTATTGATGATGAAACAGGCCTCAGAGGGCATGAAATACTCTCTGAGACACAAAGTTATTAATTAGTAGTACAAGCGGAGGTGAGTCCATCTGTCTGGCTTCTAACACCACCAGTCAAAATGATTTGCATTGCAAAGATAAGGGTGGAAAAACACAGGTTCCAACCTATATGACGTAAACTACGTGTGATGCCGAAGTCTTGAGGAGAGGACAGAGTGAGGCTGGAATATTCAGGAAAGGAGACACCGAGGAAGAAGAGTGGCCTGGGCATAGAGCCTGAGCAGATGTGGTGGACAGCTGAAGCATCATCAGGAGGGGGAGGCATCAGAGTCTGTGGCCACTTTCCCAGTGGGACTCCCATATCTAGAGGCCATCACAAGCCTCACACTCTATGGTTCTCACCTTCCCAGCTAGCCACTGATGTCTATAACACTGTATATACATGTTTCCTCAATGTGCAATGAGTGGGCAGGGCAAACTAAACACTATCTGCAGTTCCTTTAAGGTCTTTTTTTTTTTTTTAAGCCATTGGTTTTATTTCTTTAATCCACCAATACATTCATACACATTTTAAAAGGCAGAGAGAAAATTAGAGTTGATAGAAATATCTTTCAAGATGAGGGCCAATTGCCTCTCATATCTGGCAGAAGCTTTTACAACACGAGATGTAGGCAGCAGGTGGGTTGCGTCCTGCTGGGATCCTGGGAAGACAGGATCCCACACAGGGAGCCCCGATCACGTACCTGTAACTGTTGACTTATGTGAGTATGTGGGCAGCAGGGCTGCAGCAGAAGGCCCGGGGAGAAAGGCGGCTTTGGCATGCAAGTCTGTCATCTGTTGTTTTCCAGTTTCAGAGGCATTGCCTTGGTTTTTTGATCTTTTTTGTAAATCTCTTATGAAATTTAGAAGAAATATTATCTTTGGAAATGATATAAATGGTTGAGGTGTTTGGTCTTAAATTAGCCTTTGTTATAGACTTTCTCAAGATAACAAATGCTAGAAGAAGAAAGAGGAATTCTCCCAAAATAGTAAGCGCTACTATCATGGTTTGCTGGACCACAGTGCTTCTCTCCTACCAGGGAGTTTCTCAGTGTGTCCCTGGTACTGGCAGCAAAAATCTGAACCAAGTAGACTCCCAGTCAGACATATATGCACACACACACACATACATACATGCACAGAGGGTTCTCAGCCATCATATACCATTCAGGGTGTCATGTAGAGTAGCTCACAGCTGCCTTCACACTTTGTGTTATACAAAAACAACTCTCTGCTCAGCCCTGTTTGTTCATTCATGTATTCACTTTTAAGGCAGGGCCTCACCCCATAGCCCAGGCTGCCCTTGAACTGTCAGCCCTCCTACCTCAGCCTTCTGAGTGGTGGGACTACAGGCATGAAACACCATACCTAGGTCCTCTTATTTTGGGCTCAATACTGTTGAAATTGGTATTGGGGAGGGTGAAAACATAGATTGCTTGTAAAAGACAATCTGTCATTGCAGTGAGATTCCTTGTGATTGGCTATATGGAAAGTCTAGAAAGAAGGTAATTCTTTCAAGCCCAGAAGGAAACTACTGAGTAACTGCTGGGCTAGGGCCCCCTGTCAGTTCCATGGGACTTCTGTCTAGATTTTCATCACTTCAATTAGCATCTGAATGGTGCCTACAATAACTCTGTTCCTTTGTAACCCACTTAGTTCTTCCTTCCAACTTCTGACATACCCCTCAAAGGTTCAATAACCAGGAAGTTTACTTATTTGTATATATTTAGACTGCTGGGTAGGACGTTTATAAACCCACTTGTCTCTCACAATCATTTTTTTATAAAGTGTCCCTACTCATTAGCGCTAATACCCAGTACTACATTTGTTTCATTAGTAACCCACTGCTTCAAATGGGACCTCACTGCTCACTCCAAGTCCAGGAGTCTCTCTGACTCCCAGAGAGGTTGGCCTTAGTACTCAGCCATGTTTCCTCTCCTATTCCTAGCCCCCAGTTCTTGGTATTCTTCGTTTCCTTACTTATAAAATGGAAAAGAAAAAAATAAAAGTACCCATCCCTTAGGACTGGGTTCTGATTAAATACATTACTGAATAAGATTCACTATTAAAAGCATCTGACTGCAAGTACTTAGCAACTGGTCACTATTTTGTTAGGGAGCCATATGTCTTATTGATTGAGACAAAGGCCTTATTTACTTTTTTCCAAAATGGTGTTCTGGGTTCAAAAGGATTCAGCATAGCAGCTAAAGAGAGAAAGCTACAAAATTTGACTTTATGGTTTCAAGCCTCAGTTAGCCTTGATAATTTAAAATATGACAACAATTGACAGGAAAAAACTACACACTTTTCTTTTAGTTCGGGTCTTGTGGGTTCAACACAGTCATTTGCATCCAAAGGCAATAATAGCACTATTGTGTGTGTGTGTGTGTGTGTGTGTGTGTGTGTGTGTGTGTTTTAAGAAGACAAGCAGATTTCTTCCTCCCAGTTGTCTCATGGGAGTAGCTTGGGGACTTGGGGACAAGCACATGGAACCATCACATCCCTTTTACCAAAAATGGACACATAATACTTTAGAAATTTTAAAATGGAGAAGCACGGCAAGCGATTGTCTTAGGAGAGAAGACAAGTTAACTTTAGACAAGTGGTATTTAAAGAGAAAATAAAGCATTTTATTTAGAAACATCTTTATGAAATTAGAAATGTGAAAGTCAGGGACAGTAAGTGAAGTGAGGGTAAGAAGGTGGACATGGAGAAATCTTAGTGGTCTCTAAAACCATGTAAACAAATGTCTCCCTGGGGAGGCAGATACGGAAACAGACTACAAGGCTCAGTCTTCTCACTTCTGGGTAGGGTATTTTTAAACCCATAGTGCATTTGAGATTTGTCCTTTGAATTTCTTTCAGAGTCAAGCTCATGGCTACCACACGCTGCTGTACTGTTAGGGGTCATTATAGTCATCATCCTGATTCCCACGACAGTAATAATGCTGAAAAAACAAGGTAGGTCTTGCAAGAAGGGTGTCTTAGTGGTTCCCAGTGATAAGTAGAATAGATCTTATACAAGCACAGGTTGCTCTCACTATAAACACAGACTCACTCTCACTGTAGCTTTCTGCCTGGAGCTCCCAGTGAAAAATACTGAATCAATACATCCTCACTCAATTCAGCCCAATTATAGCCCGATGAGCCCATATACCGAGTTAAAGGAATCAGCAGAGGAAAGAACCACAAGTGTCTAAGACAGAAGACATTGGGCAGATAATTTGAATTCAACACTGAGGTTTGGCTTGTACAGAAGACTAAGGGAATTGAAACAGGAGGCATACTCTACTGAGATTTTCTAGGGAAGAGAATTCAGAGAACTCTTGCATCTGTGAAACATGTCCAGGGTAGACTAAAAGCAGTGAGGCTGTGATTCCAAGTTTAAATGCTTGATATTTCTTCACTATCTCAGGGCCATGTGCCCCCTCAGCTGTACTGACTCCCACTCACCCATCTGGATCAGAGCACCCTGACTCAGATGCCTCAGACGCACCTGCCCCCCATTGGCCTTCCCTTGGGGAGCACAGAAACCTATGCTGGTCTATCACCAGGCTAACAGCTCTTGTCATTCTCAAACAGATCAGTGTGTGATCTAACTATGCACAGTCTTCTTAGAAAAGCCCTTACCTCAGCACACTGATGTTGGTTTTGCTTATATAAGAGAGATGTCGAGCACAGCACAGGAGCCTACCTCTGTCTCATTTCCTCCATTAAAGACTTCACCAAGACAGTGGAAGAGGGGCGTGTTATTCAGATAAAACTTCTGTTAAGAGCTAAAGGGGTCTGGGAGTGGACCCACTTAGTTTTCATTATAAGAAAACAGTGAGATACTGTGGCCAAGAAAGCAGATAAAGTTTCCCATGTTAGCCTAGCTAGTGGAGGTATGCTGTTCTTCCATGCCAAATTCCTCACTGCATTCTGCTCAGCACATGGATGAGCTCTGAGGGAGCAGGACTTCCCCTCCCAGCAAAGCCCCACTTCCCTCACCCTCAAAACACATCCCCAGCTTTTCCAGGAACCATTACAATTGTAATCCAGCATCATACAAACCTACACCAAAACCTACATTTAGTCACTACACCCTCCACAGAACATTGCTCAAGAGATTCTCTTGGCAATGTGTAGTGTGTCTTCTCCAGAATGCTGCCAACTCTGATTAGTCTTAAGGTGGTTCTGGCACGTTTGTCCCCAGGAGAATACACTAGTGTAGGCACTGGGCAGTGTGCAGTGAGACAAATCTGTAGTAACAGCTGCTTGCAAGTCTGAGGCAGGAGGATCACTCCAGCCCGTGGAATCTAGTTCAGTCCTGAGCAACAAAGTGAGACCCCCATCCCCAAATAAGCAAATGAACACATGGGACTTTGACCTTAGACGACATCCAAATGTAGAGTTTGGCACTAATGAGCTGTGTAACCAAGCAAACTTTTCACCATCTGCAAAGCGTGGATCTGATGCCTTTTGTGGTATTGCTGTGGAGATTGGCAAGCCAATACACAGATAGTACACAGTGGTTTTCCTGGATGATACATAGGCATACACATACATCTGTAGACAGATCTCTCAATGTGAGTGGATCAATGTTTAAGTCTTAAGGCCCACAGAGGATTATCTCAGGAGATTCTAGAAATGGTACATAGAGAGATTTAAAGTACTTATAGTTATGGTCACAAAAGCAACTTATTGCTTCATGTGAGAGCTAGAAAAAATGGTTTATTCTCTGGCTTTACAACTACAGTATATAAAAAGCTGCACTGAGATGACTTAATCTGTTCAACGCCACACAGCAAATGCCAGTGTTGGCTCTAAGGTTCAGATCTTTTTCTTTACACCCGAAGACTTGGCTAACTTGGAGCCAAGTTGAGCTGGCTCCTGGAAATCTGTTTCTGTACTGAAAAAGAGAAGGGAGGGAGGATCTAAATTATCTTGATTCAGTGATCTTTCTGATCATTTAGAACTGTCCTGCTGTTCTAAACTTCATCCTGATCTGACCTACAAGGTTAAAAGTTCTTAGACTAGAGTCTAGTCTCAATTTGGATACCAGGCTGCACCTAGAGCAAGCAGGTCTCACTCTGAAACACTAGTGGATCTGAAATGAAAGAGTAATATTTCATAGAAATCCCTGGCACCCTTTTCCTACTCCGGGGTGTTTCTGTGAACTTTAAACACTAACCTCAAATTTTTTTCTCTTCATCTGTCTCTCTCTCACTCTGTGTGTGTGTGTGTGTGTGTCTTTCTCTCTCTCCCTCTCTGTCTCTCTGTGTCTCTCTCTCCTCTCTCTTTATCTCTCTCTCTGCCTCTCTGTGTGTCTCTTTCTCTCTCTCCCTCTCTGCATCTCTCTCTGTGTCTCTCTCTCCTCTCTCTGTCTCTCTCTCTCCCTCTCTGCATCTCTCTCTGTGTCTCTTTCTCTTCTCTCTCTCTGTCTCTCTCTCTCTCTCTCTCTCTCTCACACACACACACACCAGTGATATTAGAACCATCAGGCATACCATCCCACAGAGGAAATTTCACTGTAATTCCTTGAACTTCCCCAGTGACTTCCCATCATTTCCTCGCCAAGAGCCACACCCTCTGTTGGAAGCACCTATCACACTCACATCACAGGACTAGGCATTTCTCTACCAAACCCAAGTGTACTTCCTCTCAGTGGTGTGCTCCCAGCTTTTGAAGAGGATTAATGGATTGACATTAAGCAAGTGTGCCCTAAAGACTATGGTTTCTTCTGGGCTGCACTGAGCTCCCATGGTCTCAGCTTAGATCTTGCAGCAGTCCTCTGAAAGTCCTGCACAGGACAGTCCCTTCCTGTTCACATCCTCACCCATGCATGATGCATGCAAGGGAAGTAGTTAAGTGTTAGAAAAGTGGGAAGGCCACTGCAGCATCATGAAGAGCCTCTGAACACATTTGAAGGGACAAGGTCAAGTTATAGAGATGTATGAGTAGCATGGCACTGTTTGTGTAAAAAAGAAGGAAATCTATCAAATATAGCCAATATCTAAAGTGGCGATCCAATATTTAATTGAACTACTATTAAGTAACAATTTTTTTGATTTCACTAGTCACACAGTTCAAGTGCTTGGTTGCTGCTTGTGGCTGTTAGCCTACGCAGAAGGAACATTTATGCCTTCACATAAATCCAGAGATTGACATACAGGATTTATTTTTAATTGGTTACTTCTGAGAATGAAATGGGGCTGGTTAATGAGAGAGAAGGATTTATAAGTTATAATCTTATGTATTTCTATCCAACTTCAATTTTTATGATGAGTTTCTTTATAATTTAAAAAGGAAAATGTAAACGTCATCTAAAAATGAAAATATTTCACAACTCATTAATTTACAGAGACTTCAGGCTCTGGGCCACTTTTCTAGATTGTGAAGGAAAGAATGACACTCCTGACTTGTTTTCCAGATACTTCCAAGTGCATCATCCCACCTATACCACCATCCCACGCACACTAGAAGCCCTCCAGAAATAGGGAGATGAGAAAGCTGTGAATGAAGCAACACATTACCAGCTGGAGAATAGGAGACATGCTATGCATAGCCAGCTATGGCCTCAGAAAACCTAGAACCCTATTAGGAGAGCAGATATGCACAAAAATAGAGATTAAAGTAGCTGAATTGTACAGCAATTAAATAATACACAAAGCTGGGAGTCACAGCACACATTGGACATTTGCTATCTGCTAGTATGACTGATGTAAAAGCTTTGTAAGTATTATCTCATTTAATGTCTACAATAGTTCTATGACATGGGCATTTCAAATTCTATTTGACATTAAGGCCACAGGTCTAGACAGATGAAGTAACCAATCCAATGTGATAAACAAATGAATAGAGGCTGGGATTTGGCACCGCGTTCCTGTGGTGGTGATGGGAGGGAGGGAATAGAAAGTGTATAATAAAGGCCAGACAGTACTGAGCTGTGCTCATGCTGAGGACTAGAGGAAGATAACCACTGTGTCTCTTTACAGGTAAACGAAACTGCCAGCCACCAGTGGAAGAAAACAGCCTTACAATTTATGCCCAAGTACAGAAATCAGGGGTAAGTTCCATGCTCTTCTTGGGGCATACTCAGACTGGGCCCCTTGCATACATCCACAGTTCTGCAGGGGTTCCAGAGTAGATGAAATTAGGGAAGCAGAAGTCAAGAATAAGAGCTCCCCTAAAAATTGTTGAACACACATCACTGGAACTCTGTATTGTTTGAAATAATAGAAAACACTGAGCAACTGATCAACTGCTTCTTCATCATAATGAGATGAAGTTATAAACACACAACAGTGGACTCTTTCCAGCTCTGGCATTCTGGGAGTATATACAGCATGTCCTCTGACTCCCTTCTTGCAGGGTGCAGGCTTAGGGAAAGAGGGGGAGATGTGGAAAAGCTAATGTGTGGCATGCTGGCCCGAATCAAATGAAAGCATCTTCACAGTACAATCAAGGTGAGAAAGGGAAGATATTGAGAATTCCAGTCAGTGTGGGGCTCAAACGAAGGGTAACATATTGAATGGAGAGGAGAGAAAAACAAAACGGAGGTAGCATGACCACTGAACCAAGAAGGGAGTGATGGGAAGATATGAGACATGATAGAGTCAGGGAACAGATATGTTAGCAGTAAGAGATAAGAGGCCTACATAGATCCTCAATAGATTTGTTATTTTCCAGACATACTTAATTCTAAGGGATTTTTAGCCCATATTTGGCTATTTAGGATGGTGGGAGAGGCATATTCTTGAGTAAATGTTATGAGGGTAAAGATAATTGCTTAATAATACAATACATTCATTTCTGAGGTCCATTTCTGAGGACCAGGAGACAGTCCTGGTCAGGTACCTTTCTGCTGCCTGTGATGGTCTAGTGGGCTTATTGCATCATTGTCTTAGATAGGGTTTTATTGCTGTGAAGAGACACCATGACCACAGCAAACTCTTATAAATGAAAACTTTTAATTGGAGCCACCTTACAGTTCAGAGGTTTAGTACATTATCATGGCATGTAGGCAGACATGGTGCAGGAGAAGGACCTGAGAGTTTTATATCTTGATCTGAAGGCAGTAGGAAATGAACTGTCTCACTGGGCACGGCTTGAGCATATATGACACCTCAAAGCCTGCCTCCACAGGGACACACTTCCTCAACAAGGCCACACCTAATCCAACAAAGCCACACTTCTTAATAGTATCACTCCCTATGGGGGCCATTTTGTTTCAAACCACCACAATCATCATAGACTCCTATTAATAACAAACCTCAAAAAATAAACTCCATGTAAAGACATGAGAGCCCCACTGATACCCTCTCATCCAAATGTTCACTTAGCTGAGGCTTAGTGTATTTGTCTTTTAGAATCAGTTTCTCAAGTACTACAAAATGGAAAAAAAAAGAAAAAAAGGATTCCATCAAACCTATTGACCTACTTTGAGAAGAAATTACATCTTTCAGTTTGAGTCTTCCCCTGTAAAACACCACCCACATGAAGCAACAGGACATGGCCAGTTCCTCCAAGAACACCTCAGTACCACAATTCTCCAACTCCTCCCCAGAGATAACCACTATCCTGGCTTCTAGAAATATGAGTTATGTATTTCTTTTCTTGAGCCTCATAAAAGTAGAATCTGTCAGTATCTTTATTTGCATCTCATCATAAATTCATGCATGTGTTTGAACTCAGGATGTATACATTCTCATTGGCTTATCGGTGTGTGAATGTGCTGTTTTGGAATATATTTATCCAGTTGGCTACTAATCAGCATTTGGTTATTTCCATTTTGAGGTCATTATGAAAACTACAGTAATGAAATTCATATGAATGTCTTCTGATGAATATGTCAACATATTCTTGTTTGGCACATACCTAGAAATAGATTTGCTGAAAGATACAGTATATGGATTCTCCAATTGACTGGTTAAGACCAAATTGTTCTTCAAAGTTGGTATCAACTTACTTTTCCAATAAATGAACTTTAATAGTTGTACTTGCTAGCCAAAATTTGTCCCCATCAGCCCTTTTATTTTATCTGTGCCAGTAGGGGGGGTCTTATTATGATTTTGTTTTTCTGATAAGTAACAACTTTTCATGTGTTTATTGCCATATTAAAAATCACTGGACTTTCAAATCTCATGCCCATTTATCTTTGAGTTTTAGACCTTTAGAAGTGAGCCCTTTAGAGGTTAGATCCATATCATGTGTGGCTTACCTTTGTAATTTCTCAGCAAAACCTACTGATAAAGAACACTTCTTAATGTCAGGCTAGAACAATTTGGTAACCTCTTCCTTTACAGTTACTTTTTATAATCTGTCTGAGAAATGTTTTTCAGTCCTAGGCAGTAAAAATGCTCTTCTGGCATCCTCTTTCACATTTATTTATTATACACTTGGAAAATATGTTTGAGGTTTGTGTAAGAGAGACCAAGTTTCACTTTCTTCCAATATGGATATATTCTACTGGATATTTGTTGCACAGGCTCTTCCCTGACTGCCATGTCCTATTTATTATAATTTGAGGGCATGTATATATGGTCCTGTTCGATGTTCTGTATTCTGCTCAATTGTCCATTGGCTGAACTGTCTTGATTAGAAATATAAATTGTGATATCTGATAAAAATGAGTCTTCCCTTTTGTTCTTTTTCTTCAAAAGTTCTTGACTAGTTCTGGTGCTTTGATATATAGCTCAAAATCAGTTTGTTGAACCCTCTCACCAAATCTTTCTAATATGTTAATTAGCACCAAATAGGCCAATGAGGACAGTAAACATCTTTATTGTTTAAAATTTTTCTTTATCCTTTCTTTAAGTCTTATTTAGTTTTTCTAAATGATTTTCTATAGTTGTCCAAATACTGCTGTATCATTTTAATTTGTCAATTGGTCTTTTATATCTTAGAACATTATCAGTATCACCTCTTTCAAAAATGTTAGTCTCTAGTTACTATTGACATATCAGTTTTTATACTGACTTTATAATAACAACATTGCTGAATTAATTCATAAGTTCTCATATTTGTTTGCAGATGACTTGGGTTTTCCCCTACACCACTGTATCATCTCCAAAGGATTAGTTTTTCATTTATAAACCACATCACTCTACCTGCTTTCCTTTGCCCTATTTCACTGGCTGGGGTTTTGCAGTTTCGCACCTGATAGCAAATAGAAGTAGTGGCAATGACATGACCCTAAAGCTCCAGATTTGAAATGAAATATACCATACTATACCACTATTAAGTATGACTTTTGCTGAAGTTTTTCTAGTGAGCTTTTTACAGCATCAAACATATTGTCAGGGCCTAGAGATTACTCCAGGGTTAGGAGTGTATACTGTTTTTATGGAAGACTTGGGTTCAGTTCCTAGTCTGAGAACTTACATCTACCTGCAACACCAGCTCCAGGGGGTGCCATACCCTCCTCTGGCCTTGGCCAGCACTTGCTCTCATGTGCATGATCCTCCACACAGTTAGTCAGCATCCCAACACATATACAATTAAAGTAAGATTTTTTAAAAAAAAATATTGTCAGGCTAGGCATGGAAGTCCATTCCTGTAATCCTAGCACTCAGAAGACAGTGGCAAGAGGATCAAAAATTCAAGGCTAGCCTGGATTATACCAACAGGGCTACCTGCCTGTCTCAAAAAAAAAAAAAAATTACAGAAAGAGAGAATATTGTCTGGGACTAGAGATTATATATCAGTGATAAAGTGCCCTGGCTTCAGTTCCAGCACTGGAAGAAAGCACACACACACACACACACACACACACACACACACACACACTCACATACACACATGCACGCACACACACACACACACACACACACACACACAGTTTCTGGGTGAAACTGGCCTGTCATCCTCCTTCGTCATAACAACTCTGTGAGGTTTTGGTATCATGATTACACTAATCTTACAAGTGATGATGACTTGTATTCTTTCAGTCAGACTTTCATAGCAAATTATTACAAACTCGATGGCTTAAGCAACCAGAATTTAGCTTACTTCCATTCTGGAGACCATTGATCCCAAATGAAAGTGGCCTGATGGATGGCAGGACCCCAAACCCTCTGAAATCTCCTGGGATGAACCTTTACCTCAGTGTGATCTGATGGCTCCAAACTTCAGCATCTGTTGGTTTGCGGTTGCACCACAATTCCTGCCTCCATCTCCTTGTAATGCTGTTGTCTGTGCTCTGCCTCTCCCTTTCCACCCCTCAGAGCATCCTACACTAGATGTGTGTGGGCCCACACTGACCCAGTGACCTCACCTCAATGTTCTTACTATCTGTCTTATCTACGCCTCTGCCGAGGCCCTAATGCCACAAAAGGGCACACCCTGATTCTAGTGGCACAGATCTTTTCTCGGTCACATTTCAGCTCACCAACAGAAATATTTTCTTCCTGTGACTTTGAAAATGTTTTGGTGGGGTTGATCATATTTCTTACCTTATATATTTGGCAGAACTTTTAGATGATAGTCTCACTGACATTAGAGTATCTTTTATCATTCTACTTTCTTCAGTATTTCAATAACTATTTTCTCTGTTTTTAGTGGATATCCTAGAAATTATAAAATACATCCTTGAGTTCTTAATCTGTTTTTGTTTTGTTTTTTGTTTTTGTTTTGTTTTTGTGGTTTTTATTGTTGTTTTTCTAGACAGGGTTTCTAGCCTTGGCTGTCCTAGAACTAGCTGTGTAGACCATCCTGGATTCAAACTCACAACAGATTTGCCTTCTTCTGTCTCCCAAATGCTGGGATTAAAGGCATGTGCCACCATTGTCAAGCACATCCCTGACTTATTAATACACATTTGTTCCTTTTATTTTTTATGCCCTAAAACAATACTTTAGCGATATTATAATTTTGCACCTTTATTTATGTTCTATTTTTATTGCTTTTTAAATCATATAATTTTAAATATATAAGACATTATTATTATTTTATATATCAATATGTACAGACTTACCTACATCCTTGAAATTCCTTTCATTTTTATATCAGTACAAAGATAATAACAGATAATTATTCAAAGATTAGCATTTCTTTTGTTTTCATCATTACAGCTGTACAATATCTTTATATAAAGCATAACATCCAGGTGTCATGTTGCACACCTTAAATCCCAGCACTCAGAAAGCAGAGGTGATGGGAGATGACATTCTATATATGTTTCTCATACTGGTTTAATGAATAAAGCACTGTTGGCCAATAGAAAAGCAAGATAGGCGGGACTAGGAGAGAAGGAGGAAAGAGGAAGTAGTAGGGAGGGGTCAAAATGGAGAGACTGGGGAGATGAAACGTTGGCCCCTTTCCCCAGTAATAAAACCACGTGGAAATACTAGATTAGCAGAAATGGGTTAATAATTAAGACAGAGCTACCCAATAAGAAATTAGTACCTGGCCAACAGCATCATGTCAAATACAGAGTCTCTGTGCATTATTTGGGGCTGGCGTGGCGGAACAAAACCAGGCGTCGGGCGGAAAAACCATACTCTTTACATAGAGGCAAGTGGATCTCTATGAGTTTGAGGCAAGCTTGGTCTACATAAGCAGTTCCAGTCCAGCCAAGACTTCACAGTGAGACCCTGTCACAAAAAAAGTGAAAGTGGAACATAATAACATAGAAAATTGGTTTAACAACTGATGGTTGTCTTGTAGGAACCACTCCAGGACTTACCATGACTCCTGCCTTACACTGTTATTTCAAGGGCCTCCATTCACAAAATGTAGCAAAAATAACTTATACACCCGATGTTGCTCAACGTGGTATCTCTGGAAATGTGAAAATCCATGCCTCTAACTGAAGACACAAGAAACAAAAATGTGCTATATTGTTAAAACTTTGTTTACAGTAAATTCCTTATACCTAGATAAAAATATTAAAGGGAAATTCAACAACATTGCTTCAAGACAACTCCGGGTGATTTTTAGAACTCTCTTCTTTGTAAAATTTCCCAATTGAATGCAGAACATATAAATTATTTGCCCCACCCTCCATCCCTATATTTAGGTCTGGTCACACTAAAATTCCCCCAACCAGGAACAGAAGCAAAGAGCGCACCTGTGAATGGAAGTTGATTAATAAAGTGTTTCCATCTGCTCTTCACCCATCTCACCCTTAATCAGACATTTTTCATTAAATTAAAATTTTCTATAAACCGTGGTGTCTAAGAAATGTGTAGCAATTGAGATGAACATTTCATTTCTGGAGTGCAAATAAGGAATGATGTTGCCCTGGGAGGCTGTAAGCCCCAAGAGGTCACTCTGGGAGTGGCTAGCAAAGCAAACTCCAGGGAAGTTTTGGAGAATTCTCACCAGGGAGGAAGTTAGAGCAGCTAGTAACTAAGGAGCTTTTGAACTTGAGCTGCTTTTCTGTGGGTCAAATCTGGTGGGACCCAGCTTTCTGCTCAACTAATCTGTTTTCTCTGCTTCTCTTATAGCCTGTAGAGGAGAAACTTGATGCTCTGACAGATCAGGACCCCTGCACCACCATTTATGTGGCTGCCACAGAGCCTGTCCAGGTGAGGCACCTCTTCCCTGAAAGTCTGGTGAGAGGCAGAGAAGAAGAGGAGGAAGGTTTATGAAGTGAATCATACTGTGAGTGGTGAACTAGGAGTGTGGTCTAGTAAGAAATAGCTACAGCCATGGTTAATTAGAACTCACACAAAACCCTTGATTTGGGCTCACAGACCGTGAGTCACTATCTACTGACTGGTGTTTCTCTGAGAGTCATCCAAGGACCACATCTGAGACACCTGGCATACTGGTTCGTGTGAACAAAGAACAGTTGCCACTTCTCTCATCCCCATTTGGGTCTCACTAGCCCCTATAAAACTCAATAATTAGACCTCTTTTGGCTTCCCCAAACTGTACCCTGGACAGACAGTAAGAGGGAGGGAAGGCAGATGGAGAGGGAGAAAGGAACTGTTGAAGAATTCAGTGATGGTTATTTTTGGTTGTCAGCTTGATTGGATTAAGAGGTCCCTAAGAAATTGGTGAAGCACAGCTTTGGTGTGTCTTCAGGGCATTTCCAGGGGCAAGGGATGGTGAGGGTTCTTACCTGTTTGACAGGTTCCTGATCCATGATGTACTTATAACATAACCAACAGAACCATACTGTTAGGAAGTGGTGAGGCCTAGCTGGAGGAAGCCCACTCACTGTGTCCTTGAAAGAGGATATGCACTGCTCTAGTCTCCTTTGGTATCCCTCTTGTTTCCTAAGGATAGGATGTGAGCTCTCTTGTCTCGTTCCCTCCCCCTCCCACTCTCTTTGCCCTATGGGAGGGCTGTTAACTATTTTTTTAAAAATTACTGTGACCAAAATACCTAAGAGAACAACGTGAAGGGAGATTTATTTGGGTTTACAGTTTTGGAAGATTCGGTCTATCACGTGATGATGATGTGGCAGAATGGAGCATGGCAGATGTCCTGATTTAAGGGAGTTTCTTCCAGAGGAGGGAAGGGAGTGGAGAAGAGGGAGGAGGAGGGAGGGAAGTGCAAGGCCAGTCTTCAGACAACAGGAACAAATCTCTCATCTCCTTGGTGGCACACATGTGCTTGGAGGAGAGATATAGCCCCACTTGCTGGTAGGCACTTGGAGACCCGAGTGCTGACTCTAGCGATGTCCAGACTGTGCCAGACTCGAGGCAAAGTGCCATGCTACATGAACTCTAAGGCTTTCTTTTTCTCAGGGAATGCTGCTTTGTTCACTCCTTGTCAACCTCTCCCCTCTGCTCCTCCACTCATGAACTTCTTTGCCCACAGGAACCAAACCCCACCACAGTCTATGCCAGTGTGACACTACCAGAAAGCTGACCCTCAGAAACCCAGTGAAAGGACTTTTTGATGGAAGATGGAAAAAAAATCAAAACACACACTGAACTTGGCCCTAGGTTCAAAGTTCTCTGTGACAGAAACTGCACATCTATACCCATCTCCAGTCAGTCCCCCGGTGATAGATCTGCACAGGCGCACCTGCGGAGTAGACAAGGACGTGAGACTTCCCAAGCAGGCAACCTGCTCTGCAGCTCACACAGACATGGAGCAGAGATCCCTTGACACAGCATTCCATCTTTGCCTTGCAGATAAAATAGACGATGTGAGTTCAAACATCTCATTCTCTTCTGGGTTAGATAACAAAATCCAAAGACAAAAAAGCCAGGATGTGAAACATCTGTCTCAGATGGCTGAGTACAAGGCACAAAGTCTGGAGATGTTCTCATTTCAGCTCTCTGTGCTTTATTCTGGAAGCTGATCCAGATCGCCTCAAGACCTGATCAAGGCTCTGTGCCTCAGTTTCCCTCTCATTCTCCGGATGAAGAGGGAATGAAGCAACGTTTGAAGAATGAATTCTTTGTTGCCTGAGGTCCTTCTATAAAAGGACTAGTATTTTATTTGCAAAACTCAAGCTAGTAAGCTAAAACTTTGAAAGACGGCATGGAAACTATCCAATGTTCCTTACCGTGTAGTTCTGTCGAAATCGAAGCAGCATGTGTTTGGTAATGCTGTTATAAAAAGTAACCTGGGATACTCAGAGGAACTTGTCCCAGGGAGGTTTTTCACTTCTTCAAAGAACTTTTAAAACTAAGTTCTCTGTTTACTCCCTTGATTAAAAAAAAAAAAAAAAAACCCAGGATCCTCAAGATTCTTCCTCCCTTGGTTCTGAACTCATTTTATAACCCAGGTCTCCTGTGGAACTGCAGGTCTACCGGTACCGGGCGCTCCTATTCACTGCATACCTCTTTATACTAAATTTATCTTCAAATAGAAAATTAAATTATTTTGAATAAACGGTTTCAAATGATTAAATGTTCAATCATTTATATAACAAGTTGTAAGCAGAAGTAAAGTCCTATCTTCTTCATGTTGCCTGTCCTTAGAGAGGCCAGCTTTCAACTTTACTGTACTTCTTTTACAACTTTGGAAAATACTTTAAGTAATAACTGCTGTTATTGGGGAGAGAGTCTCACTGAATAGTAGTACTTGCTTTTCAAATATCAGGAACTTGGTGCAAACTCCTAGCATCCATGTAAAAAGATGGGCATGGATGAGTGCCTGTATTACAGAGACAGACAGGTCCTAAGACCTTGATGGTGACCTGGCCCAACCTGTCATAAATATCAAGTCCCCTGAGAGTAACAAAGGAAGACTTTGACATCCTCCCATGATGTTTGTGAGCACAGCCACTCACATGCCCATAACCACATAGACATACACACACACACAAAAATACATACACCTACACATGCATAAAAAACTGATTGTATCATTCCATAACAAAGAACACCAACTGCCCAGCTCAAAACTCTGATGTCCCATTCCCCTGTACCTTTTTGTATTTAGACAATTTAAGTATAAATCCTGTTGCTCTCTGTATCCTATCTTGTGGTATTAACTTCTATAAAATGGTTTCTAATTATAATCCAAAAAAGCTAATTTTGTATTTTTTATATAAAAAAAGAGTTAGTTGGTTCAAATAACTACAAGGATATTCTGAAAACCCTTCCTTATTAGTTTTAGGGTTCTCTAGAGTAACAGAACTTAAAGAATGAACAGAGAGAGGGGGATTTATCAGAATGACTTACAGGATGCAGTCCAGCCAATCCAACAGTAGTTGGCAGTGAATGAAAAGTCCAAGAACCCAGTTGTTGCTCGGTTCACAAGGTTAGTTGTCTCATCATTTTCAGTAAATGTTGGAATCCTGAAGAAGTAGGTTGTAAAGCCAGTAAATGGATGGACTTGCTAACAAGGGTAGAATAAGCAGGCAAAGAGCAAAAGTTTCCTTCTATCATGTCCTTATAAGGGCTTCCAGCAAAAGATGGGGTTCAGATTAAAGTTCCGTCTTCCAACTCAAGATCTGGTTCAAAGGTATGTGTCTTCCCACTTCAGATCTGCATCAGAGGTGTGTGTCTTCCTACCTCAAAGATCCAGACCAGAAATGGATTCACACAAGGAAAAATAATCTCTCACAGGTGTGCCCTCCATTTCTGGATTGTAGGTCAATCCAGATATAGTCAAGTTGACAACCAAGAATAGCCATCACACTTCTTTGAAAGCAAAGAGGATAAGGAAAGAATGGGCTATGGTTAGGGCCATCTAAAATGGCAAAGCTACTCTAGGGATTGCAAGGCTACATTGGTGCTACTATTTTGTAACCATTGTCTACAACACTGAGCATAGACCACTGCCTTTTGCTTTTGCTGCACTAGTAACATATTAGTAGTTGTTATTGTTGATTGTCCATCACCAAAATGACTGCTCCTTCCTTCATCTTTTCCTTTCTAGCTTCTAATTCAAAGTTTGATACTTCAGAATAGCCAAGCCATGTCCTCATCTTACACCACCAAAGGAAGTTACAAATCTGGAAACTTCTACTTTTGTAGTGGCTGGTAAACTTTTATGAATTAGAAAGATCTCCAAACAGAAGTGAGGCTTCGATGTCAGACAGACCAAAAATTGTTCACTATATGCCCTTGTATAATCTTGGACCAAAGAATTTTATTAATTCTTTGAAAATATCATATATGTACAACATATTTTGATTGTATCCATCCAAACAGCCTTCCTACAATTCCTCTAAAGACCCACCAACCCATTTTCCTTCTGACTCAATGCCCTCTTTTTTATTACTGAATCCAGTTAGTGCTTACCAGATGAGAATGTGTACTGAGTCATGCACTGGAGCATGGGCAACCTATCAAAGACCACATGCTCTAAAGAAAATTAACTCCTCCCTCAGTGGCCATCAATCGTCAACAACTCGTCAACTAAGGATGGAGCTTTGGAAGATCCCTCTCTCCATGATGAAATTTTGACTGGTTTGATCTTGTGCAGGCCTTATGCAGACAGCCACAGCTTCTTGTGAATCAATGTTTACATCAACTATATCATGTCTGGAAGACTAGCTGTCTATTCTGAAAACCATAGAGAAACTTAGAACTGGGATGTATAAAGCCTAGAGTTACAAGCTCTCATTCATTTACTGCAATCCAGGCAGCTATAGAAGATTAGCTCCTAACACTTGAGTTTTTGCTATGGCTGATGGAGATGCAGAAACCAAGGAGATTCTATTTCCAAACTTTCCTGAATCCCTAGACTCCAGACCTCATTGAGGATGGGGACTATGTTTTAGAGGTATTCTTTTTGGCCAACCATCCAACAGTGCTTGGCCTTCCCATCCCCCACCCTTGCAAACTAGGCCTTCTTGGTACTACATTTGTGTGCTTCCGTCTTCTCTGAATGGCCCTGACTGAGTTAAACTCACCTTTCCCTCAGGCTGACAGTATTAAAGCAGAAACTACAATGACAGAATTCCCCAGGTTGTTCTTCCAACATTGTTTTCAATAGACCAAACATCTGAATTCTGTAGAAGTCAGGAGGAACAAACCCATTCTCAGTTTTAAGAAGCTAATACTCTGACGCCTGGGTGGAGTCCTCTGCTTCTTTTGGAGTCACACAGCCTGTATGTGATGGTAACAGGATACACATGTTGGCTGGGAAGACACTGGGTGCTCATATGCCCCCTAAAATTTATGGGTTTCCTATTTTTTAAAAATGTCCTTCTATGTATCCAATGTCAGCTTTGAATTCCCAGTTCCCTGATTCAGCCTTCCAATTTGCAAGAATTATAGGTGTGTGTTTATAGTTCTACTTTGAGGAAGTTAATAAAATATAGTTAATCCACCATGAGAGGCTCACTTCGGTCTTACATTTTTTTTTAGTATGACAGTGTAACTGGGCATGTACCCATGACTCCATATCCTTGTCTGTGAACACCTAAGGTGGCTGCTTTGGTAAAAATAAGTTGTGAGGCTTTTTCTTCCCCAAGAGAGTGGACAAGAGTGTGCCCAGGGCCTCCCCCTCTACCAAAACTCGGGGTCCACTCTCTTTATAGAGGATAGAACTGTGTCTAAAGAGCATTTGATTTTTTGTCACTGTCACAGTAATTCCTTTCTCTGAATTCCCCGCCAAAACACACACACACACACACACACACACACACACACACACACACACACACACACAAACTCTATAAATTCCCCTTGTAGAAGAATCTGGGTCCAGATTCTCAAATGACATTTGGGGCTGGGCAAATTTTTGTAGTGACATTTTGTCCTGTCAATTTAACATCATCCTTGTGCTCTTACCCACTGCCAGTACCATATCCTCTATTCCCCCTTTCTATGAGTGAAGATAATATTCAAAGGTAGGACACTGCCTATGGTATGAGGCCCTGAATTTGAACCCCAACAATGAAAAAAATCAGTGACCCTGGATATTGCTAGATTTTGCCAAGTGGACAAAATACCCAGTTGAGAACCATTGACTCCCTGGACCTTTACTTAGCTTATAATAAACTAAACACACCATATTAGTCAGGATTCTCTAGAATAATAGAATTTATAGATTGAATATATATATATACATATATATTATAATAAATATATATGGGGGATTTATTATAATGACTTACAGGCTGTGGTCCAGCTAATTCATCAATGGCTGACTTTGAATGGAAAAATCTAAGAATCCTGTAGCTATTCAGTCCACAAGGTTGGATGTCTCAGCTGGTCTTCAGTAGATGCTAGAAGATTGAAGAAGTAAGCTCTAATGCCAGTGAAGGAATGAATGTGCAAGTAAGATAGAAGTAAGCAGGCAAAGAGCAAAAGCTTCTTTCTGCCATGTCCTTTTTAGGTATTTAGCAGAAGGTGTGGCCCAGATTAAAGGTATGTCTTCTCTCCTCAAGAACAGGATTAAAGGTATGTCCTTTCACAGTTTGAAAGATCTGGAAAAGGTGTGGTGTGTGTGTGTGTGTGTGTGTGTGTGTGTGTGTGTGTGTGTGTGTGTGTGTGGTGTTCCTAACTCAAAGACTTAGATTAGAAGTGGATTTTCCAGCCAGGCAATGGTGGTGCTTGCCTTTAATCCTAACACTCAGGAGGCAGAAGCAGGTGGATGTCTCAGTTCTAGGCCAACCTGCTCTACAGAGCTAGTTCTAAGACAGCCAAGGCTGCAACCTTGTGTACAAAGAAACCCTGTCTCAAAAAAGAAGTTGATTTTCCTACTTCCAATGAGGAAAAAAAAATCTCTCACAGGTGTGCCCTCTGTCTGAGGGTTTAGTTCTAGGTGTAGTCAAGAATATTCTTGACAACAAAGGACATCACAAGTCCACCCTTTGTCAACTTGACACACAATTATATCTCCTGTTTGTGATTAATTTTCAAATAAAAACAATAACCAGGTCATAATAATGCCTAAACATAATATAACATGAATGACTAACATGATATAGTTATCTCCCATACAACCACAAATACATTACAAATTTAGAATAGGTGGCAATGTCCCTTAAAGGGTATTCTTTTAGTATCTCACACTTAATACAATAACCACTAGTATTCTCTTAAATGATGTTACATCACATGATAAAGAAATTGAGGAAAGAAAACACAAATGCATTCTTAAGAAAATATAACAGAAACACTCATGTCAACTATAATTTATAACCCTCATTTCTGTAACTGGTCAGGCCTTAGCTAATATGTATAACTACCTTTCTCTACTCCCATTCTGTATTTCCTCCACACTTGGTGAGAAACTCAGTAGGCCTTGGCTCTTTTCCTGACTCAGGGATGGAGAGTTAATATAACCCTGAGGCAAAACAGTAAAGATATGCTGCCGGCCTTCCCAAATGAAAGCAAATTTCTTCTGGTGGTCCTTATGAACAGATACTGAGAAAAAGACATTTGCTAGATCAGTAGCTGCATACCATGTACCAGGAGATGTGTTGATGTGCTCAAGTAAGGACATCA